ACACTAAATTACAAAATATTTAAAAACTTACTTTTGACAGGTAAGTCTAATATGGTCAATTGTGTTCAAGTTACAGTCCTCAGGCTAATGTGGTCTTAGACAACGTGGCACCTGCCTACCACGCAGTTCACACAAAAAACACCAGTAAGTGCAAAGTTTGGGCTTTAGTCAGATTATTTCTCACAGTATTAGATCCATAAGAAATCTGTATTCTGCATTTTGAGACACCATACCATGATTTGAGCACAGAAGTACTAAGAAAAAACCTCTTTCTCTAGGGGGAGTTTAAGGAGTGGAGGTGGAGAATATTTTAAGATTTTTTTGGTTTACCTATGAAAATAATTTTTACAAGTACCACTCCAAATTGAAACTGATTTATAGCAGAGTGAAATTACCAGACATCTGCACATACCATCCTTACTCAAAGGGATAAACACATCCAGCTATGCACAGTCACAGTGCTCTAATTTATCAACATTTATTCTTCAAAAAATATGTAGGTGGATTCCCACTAACACAGTAGGAACAATTTAATTACATCTCAAGATAGAATTCCAGAAAAAAATTTACAAAGCATTAGGAAGTTGACATAATTCCAAATGTCTGCTCCTAGCTCCATATCCCAAGTATCTGCTACTATTAGATCCCAGCTATCCTACCCTAAGGCATCACCAAAAAATCATGTCATTTCCAGATAAGTGTTCACGTGAACTTTATTTTCTTAATAACTTTCATTCTAAAAGGCTCAGATTTTTTTGGGTAACTCCTACATTAACATTTCTACTGGCATCTCTCAAGTTAAATAAGTCATCCTTAAATGCAATGTTCAAACAACAGCTTTAGGTATGCCAGTCTACATCTGAAAAGCACAGCTATAAAACATGAAGGACTCTGCCCATGCTGGAAGCCCTGGAATGTGATAACAAAGACAGCTACTGGATTACAGTAATAAACACTAACTGTGCATATTGTACCATGCACACTGCAATGAATTGCTCATTTTTAAAATACTAATAGTACTGTACTGCAGGTATTAAAGAAATAATTCAGTAGTCTAACTGTGCTGAAAGCTCTATGGTGAATTAAGGAATATGACCCACCTGCATTATTTTGCTGCTCAACACATTTATCAAAGCAGTGTTGATCTTGGACACTGTAATTGCATCACAGCACTGAGGTGCTCCAGCCAGAAGCTGCAGGAACAGTTACTGAAGGCCTAAATTATTCTCTACACCATAATGCAAAGATGCCCATATTTTTTCGGCAAAAAAGTTCACTTGTGTATAAATTAATGAAATCAAGAACTTCAATTGATCACCAGACCTCTCAGGGAAGCAGAACACCCCACAACAGAATGTGGGGATGGCCAAAGATGCCACAGGGAGAGATCTGCTACCCTGCTGACTGACAGCAGGAGACAAGGGGTAACACTTGGCAGCAATGTTTGCCCAGAGATTAGTCAAAATATTCAGCAGTGTAATACCTACAGTTCATTTTCATAACAGAAATGCAACTGCCAAAAAAAAAGGGTGAACACACCAGCCAGTCTCAAAAGCTACATATAAATCCACCCATGCAGCCACCAGTAAATACAGGCTTATGCAGGAGACATGCAAGTTCTAATTCTCACTCCAAAATCTTGAATGCTCCTGGACTGAGAAGCTTTGTTTTAAAATCAGCATTTGTGTGTATTTGTCAAAGCAAAGGAAACAACAAATAATATATTGCCCAAAGCCTCATTTAATGCAGTACAGTAGCATTTTCCTTAAAGAACCTGCAACAAGTTTCCTTGAAGAACCTGAAGACCCAAAACCTTAAAGCAGTATCATTTAGGTTTTTAGAATGCAAAATTCCATGATGCACTGACAGCTGCTAGATTATGCATATTGCCTAAGTCATCAGTGATTTTAAATGAATCTGATTTTAAAAAACCTTTCCTCACTGTATCACAACGACAGGATATTGACAGCATCATTTTGACATTCCTTTGCTTTTTAGGACATGTTTCTACCGTCTATACTCATCATCTGTTTATTTTTGGCTTCATTTTTCTAAATACTGAAGCTGCCCTATCAGTTTCACAGGCTTATAAATGTTATACATCAAAAATTAGTTTCACTTATTAAGGCAGGAAATGGCTGTAAGAACTCTGGGATCTGTGCCTCAAAGCAAAAGCTTTATCAGCAGGTTCCAGTCACTGCTTCTTGCAAAAGAAAATGGTGCCGATTAAAACCCCATACACCTGATTTCAAAAAGAACACCTACCCACTGAACATTTCTCACATGGCTGCAAGGGGGGCTGCACCCCAAACACCAGACAGCTGTTTCTCACACACTCCCTGTCCCCAGCCCTGTAACACTGCTCAAGAAAAATGAAAACTATACATAAAGAGATGAAGTTGAGATAAAAGAACAGTAATTCATCCATTTATTACTCCAGACTTCAGAAGTGGTGCACTTCAATACAGCCACATTGCAGTTCCATGCCCGACTTGCTCACAGAGCTGTGTTGCATTTGGAAGTTAGAGGTTTACAAATAGCCATATTATTTAAAAACTAACTCATTTCTTAGAGGCATTGTATAATAAAATCAACACTTCTGTAAACTGCTAAGAGAAAAAAGTAGCAATTGAATGAATACAACATGAAAGCAGTATTTTATTAAGTGTACTTGTATACAAAACAATGACTGCTCAATCAGCCTCTTCCATAATCAAATCCTCCTTTTATAGCTCTTCACTGAAACAGTCACTGTTAGAAGAATTTCCTTAGGAAAACAAGTATTTTAAAAGATCCATTTTAAAAAAAAGCTACTGAAAATCACAAAGAAAAATGAACCTTGCAGTGAGCAATAGAGCACATCTCTACAAGAGCAGAGAACCCCAGTGAATTCACATGGATTCTGCCTCGACAGAACTCCTCATGAGAGATCAAGCCAGTCATTTGAGTTTCCCTTCTTTCAACATATTATTTGTTCAGATAAACCCACTTAACCAAAACCAAGTCAAGGCTGTGAATACTAATAATGTTTCAAGCATTTTGTTTTCAGAATTACAACATGCTAATATTTGAAAGTCAACAATTTGAAGCTAATGTTCCACAAATAATAATACACTGCTGTAGCACCTGGGATATGCTAGATGTTGTATAATCCCATGGCTACCAAAATCAGATAACAGTTTATCATAAATATTACAAAACCTTAAAACTTCTTACATTAATTTGTTTTTATAGTCAAACAATTTGCACTAGAATCTCAGTATGTTTTATTGATTATAATACTCCAACCACTTTAGAGGAGATGGGATAATGACATTTGTGAAGGAGAACAGCAAGTGTTTTTCATGTTCTACACATGAAAGGTAATAAAACAGTCAGAAGCTGGTCAGACTTAAAGGGAACATCAGGACACATCCCTACCACTGTCAATAGCTGTTATCATTGCAGACTGAAGTTTTGTGATCACTGGTGACAAGGCAGATAAGAGTCTAGTCATAGTCTAGTCATTAAAAACTGCCCTGAGTGACTAAAGGGAGGAGTTTAATGATTTTGTAAGAACACTCACTGAGGAACAGTTACTTTTACCTAACCTCAGAGAACCTTAAGAACTGTATTTCCCACTTCAAAAGCTGTCTGTTTTTAAAGCCATCACAATATTGTAATACATTGCATTAAACAGATTTAAATCTGCAATTTTACATTAAAGCTTAGTTTAAAACACTGTATTTAAGAAACATTTAAAATACTTGTATGAGAATGAGAAGCAGCTAAATTTGTCTTTGCTTTCCTAATCCCTTTGAATTTTGCAAGCATATACAGTGGACAGAAAATTCCCATTACCTCTGTGAAGATGGAAGAATATGCAAGATAAAGGAATGAAAGCAAAAATTATATAATTATTTTTTACTATAAATCGAGAAGATTTATAGTTTAAATCATACTTCTTAGATGACTTTAAAAAGATCGCATTTCCACTCACTGAAATAGTACTTTTTTTTTTTTCTTACCTGGATTCAAAACTGCTAAACTATCTTATCCTAATGTTTTCCTCTGCATTTTCTCCCCCATGCAGAACTAGCAGTGGGGAAAACAGCCTTTGTGGACTTCAGCTATTTTTATTTCAGCTGCCTCCACCTACCCTATGTGCACAAATTGAACAATTGCTTAAATGAAGGTACCAGAGCTATCTGATAGATTCCTCACCAGTTTTAAGTATTCACTAAGATCCGTACATACAGATGTTTTTCTCCCACTTTTGTAGCAATGAGAGTACAGCCTTCATGAAATTACTCGGGTACACCAACTATCAAGACAACATCTTGAAAAAACTGTGTTACTTTGGACTTGGTTTTAGGTATGTATTTACACACTGAACAATTATGACAAGGAGAAAAAAATATCCAACACAATTCTAAGGCTACAGCAGTAGCACAGAGAGACAGCCATCTACTCCCACTCTTCTTCAGAATTCTTCCAGCCTGAAGAATCTTCTCCTGACCACATGAATACACAGAAAAACAAGTATTGGCACACAGCTCGGGGTTCCATGTGTTCTCATTTGCTCTAGGCTTGCTAAATGTCTACCTGTCTTGAGGCTTCCCAAGCTTATAGACAAGGTAATGCCAAAAAAAATTATGAGGCACAGGGAACTGAGAGAAAGAGAACATCCTACTCCTGTTCTCTTGGCTTGCAACATGGAAAAAAATCAAAAGCTCAACACAGATGACCAGATACTCTTCTGAGTTGAGGAGTGAGTAGCAAGGATCTAAAGCAAGGTTACTTGGGACAGTTCATGGATGTATTTTCGATTCTTAAACACAGCTACAGCTGTCCAAGCATTGCTAGATCAGCATCAAAGTCCTGAAATCACTGACAGGAACCTGCTCAGAAAATGGGAAAGATGCTGCAAATAACCTTCAATGCTGTTTTACTCAGGACACTTTTAGTCCAGATGTGCAAACTAAATGACCCCTCGGAGCTCTTGTTAACAGCCCGCTTACCTCACGAATGGCTAATCTGTCACTCAGCTCCTCAGCCTTGGCAATGTCACCTTCAGCCACACACTTCTCTATGCTCAGTTCAAGGCCAGACTAGAGGGAAAAAAAAAAGGTAAATGCCTTCAGAAGAAAAAGAACATATTTAAAAGGAGTACCTCCTTTCTAAAAATATTTCTTTCATGAAATTCTTTAAGACACTGCATAAACCCGTAATTTGTGTGTACCACAAATCACTCTGTCTGTGTATTGTAATGGACAGTATAATTAAGAATTCACTGAGGCCGCCTGAGCACAAATCATTGCATTAGTTCCACCTTATGTGCAGGATAATACTATAGGTTAAAAAAATTACACGGGCTAGTTTATGCCTGTCACAATAAAATTTCATCTGAAGATCTGGCTTATCTCTTCCATCCCTGGAGCTTTCTAAACAAAATGTAAAATATATGTGTCAGGTAACATGAAGAATGGCAATTACCACTGTATCGTTACAGTTCTAAGATCTTATCTTTACCCAAAAAAACAGAATTCTGGCACAAAGCCACTCCACTGTGATAATAAATTAAAAATTCTAGCAGCCCAGTGGAAAACAATGAAAATTTTCAGGATTTAAGGGTTGTTTTCTTATTTTCAGATGTTAACAATGTGTTTAATGGCAACACTTACAAATAACATAACAATAAAAAGCCACTTCTTGGAAATTATGGTTGTAAATATTTGGTGGAGTATAGAAGGGTAGCACTGACTTCAGAATTTCACAAAAAAACTCACTCTCATAAAAAAGATAATTTACAGCCTCACTGATTTTAAATATTAGTGAACTAAAGAAAACACATTTGACAGTTCCATAACATACACTTTTTTAAGAGATAAAAATGAAAATGCTAATGGAATTCTTGAGAAACAGTGATCCACAAACACTGCACTTGAATTATTTCAGGTGATAGTTGAAAAAAAATGCACAATTGGAAGTTGCAGTGATGGCAAATTCTGTTAAGATGAAAACAGTGAAATGTATCTTCCACTAGTGATAATATCCCTGAAATTACAATGAAACCATCTGCATTTTAACAGTTTGGGCCTCATTCCAGATCCATCCCGACCACTTTAATGACAACTAAATAGCCACCAAAAAGTAAGAAGCAAACAAATCTTCATGATATGCATGTAGAAACTTACGTTAAGGAAATTAAAAATACAAAGATTATCATAAAGGAAGCTAACTGAACATTTCATGTGCTGGAACTTACAAGGAACTTTATAAGAAATATTATAGAACCAACAGCACTACCAGAAACTCACAATGTAATGAGAGTCTTAACTTATCCATCATGTCTGACAATTAGTTCAGCTATGACTAGTTACACAATAGTATTTATGAACAAATTGTGTTATGAATCCAGTCAAAATGTATGCTAGGTTTGCACCTTTAATTCTTGCAGCCACTGCTGTCAACTGAAATATTCATGTGACACATTTTAAAATTAAAACACGATGAAGTAAAACGAAAGGAAAAGTCACACAATGCATATGAAGTGTTCTGTCTCTCACTACAGGAAAAAAGGAAACCAGACAGGACACAACCCTGGATACTGTCTTAAAAGAAAACGCAGCAAACATTCCAGGACATTTATTTTAAAAGTTGAGAAAATTATCCTTCCTCAGAGTGATTGTATCTTTTACTCTCAAATAGCCTCAGTTTCATTCCTATCTCAATTAAGGAAAAGTTCTTTTACTGCCAAACACAAGCTGACACTGCCCTTTGTAATAACAGTCACCTTTTGTGGAGCCCTGCTGTTCACAGGTGATTCAAATCTATCGTTGATTCCAAAGTATTGTGTGAGTTCTTTCCATTTCTCTTCATTTTCCAACTGCTGACTACTAAAAACAAACAAACAAACAAGTGATTGCCATAACCACTTCCCTTTCCACAATTTGTAACATCCTTTTCAAAGCTAAAATAAACTCTTCCATTTGGCAGACATGGCCTTTTCATCCATTCCGTTTTTAAATGAAGAGAAATTAATTAACCCTCCCCCTTTGTGTACACGTAATTTCCCAATCTTGAAAGCAAGCTGATAAAATCATAGAAACATTTAAGTTGAAAAAGTTCTTTAAGATTGAGTCTAACCATAAATCCAACACTGCCAAGAAGGAAAAAGAGAAGGAGCAGGCTGAACAGGAGCTTGTATGAAGGAAGTAGAAAGACCATTAAGTCTATTAAAAGTTACATTAGATGATACATTTGTGCTGATTTTTAAAATCAAGCAATAACACTCCATCAAGCCCTCACCAGTACAAATTCAGCCTGCCCAACAGAGACACTGAACAAATTTAGAAGATATTTTACACAATGCTCAAAGCTAGGCTTTGGCTGTGAATGTGGTCAGGCTTATTTTAAGTTTTGCCTGCTACTAACAGACCTCAGGTAATCCCATTCACCTGGTTATACCTTTTAGCCACTTCATCAGTCTTTCTCTGTTTTGCTAAGGGGGAAAAAAAAGAAAAAAAAAATCCAATATTACACAGTGATACCCCACAGCATCCAATGAAATTAACAGAGCTTTAATTGGTCACATTTCCTTTACTTTCTTTGAAAGATCAAGACACAGGGATTTTTACACAATGATCATGTAGATTTAAACCACTCAGCTGTAAGAAACTCCTGCAATATCTGTGAAGTTTTAACCAGAATGTGCAAAAGCAATTTTTGTACAACTACTTAAACACACTTAACAATTATAAATCAGTATCAACTGAGGAAGTTTTACTTCCTTTTTAAGAAGAGGACAAATATATTACTTGCATTCTATGCAGCAACCTCACTACAACCTTGCAAGTGATGCATACAAGTAGAAAAATAAAATCCTAGAATACATTACTTCTTTTAAAAAAAATTGATACAATACTAGAATACAATTCTCCATTAAAAAAAAAAAAAAAGCAACACAAGAAAAAACCCTCAAAAACCAAAAACACCAACCACACAAAACAGCATGTATTGATACTAATTCAATTGGAAAAAAATAAATTCTGGTTATGATTAGAAAACGACCTTTTCGGTGGCGCTTTCTTTTTCGGCACCTGTTTTCCTCTTTCACTTGCATTTTCATTTCACGGTGTTTCTTCTGAAGCTCCACAAATTTCTACAAGATTATGAAAAAGCAAGTCAGTATTTTCAATTTTCCCCCCATTTTTAAGAAATTGCAGACAGAAATGTATAATTACCCACAGTGCCTTGTGTTATCTATTACATCCCAGTCTATAAATTGAGACCATGGGGCTCTGATGGTGTTAAACTGGAACTGGTGCTCATCTTTCATCACCTCTCTCTGACTTTCTGCTCTCCCTACATCCCAGGACTCTTCAGATCTGACAGTTCTCTCATAGGATGTGACACAGAACACACTTTTGCTTGTTGGGCACTCCTGAGCTATAATATGTATTTTTATAGCCTACTGGTAGTTTGCAATCCACAAATTAGTGACAGTATGGTCCTTGCACAGCAGGCTCCCTGCAAGGACTGAAGGATGAAAGAAGGCAATTATTTTTTGCCAATTCTTATTTTGAATCCAAAGCCTTAAACACATTGGGTTTTTTTCAGGGATTTTTGTTTCCCCCAGTCTTTAAATACAACTGCAAAATCAGGAGGTTATAAGGAACTCTTGAGTCTGAATGCTTGCAATTAACCCCTACAGCAAACAGCAGGACACACCTGCCCTTGACAGGTGTGCAGTACGCCCAGAGAGGCTGAAACACTGAGCTGTGCATTGTTACCAATGCAGAAAGCAGCTACCAAGTAGCTCAGAGCCCACGAACCACTGAAAACACAACTTTTATGCAAATGTATAGGAATGACAACTCCTTGCTGTGCTTTCAATCACCACCAAACTACCATCTAATTACTTCCTTCCTAAATTCCTGTTTACCTCACTTGGAACAATCTAAGGTTTGTATACTCAGATCATATTCTATCAAATTTCAGATTTGTATATTGACTATTCAACCCTGAATTACTTAAATCTAAAAATCATATTGAGATTTCTCAATCTCATCAAATGGCTATTTGATTGCACTGCATTATGCTTATCTGTAATGATACATACATTCCAGATATTCACAGAAACTCCAGGAGGGCACATTTGAGATTCACTTTCTTCATCTGTCACTGGTACAAGAGGTTCACTGCTGGCATTACTTTCCTGTCCAGTCCCCTGAACTCTTTCAGTATTTTCTTTTGTGTCTTGCTTTGAACAGGAATCAGGTGATTCGTCTCCATCATCAGAACTTAGATCAACATCACTTTCATTCAGTCCTGGAGGTAACAGCCCACTCCACATCTTCCAGTTTACATAAGTCCAAACTATTTCAAGTCACTGCAAAGACATCGGGTTACCCATCCCAACACAAAAACAACCTGCAGAAGGGAGAAACAGAAACAGCAAACACGCCATCAGGATTATTTTTGTTTTTCCTACATAAATACCATTACATGTTTTACACAAGCACATTATAAAGGTGCTAATACTTACTATTTCAGAAAGAAGAAAACTTGATTACAGATGCTGAGACTGCTGGCTCTTTCTTCCCCCACTTCTCGTCCTTTAAAGTTGTGCCCCTATGCGTTTGCTTACAGCTCCTTTCAGCTGGGGGACGACACTGCAGCAAACGCCTCCCGTGCCTCCACAGGGGCAACCTCCCGGGACAGCACAGCCAGGGCCGCGGCAGCGGAGAGCCGAGCAGGGGAGGCGGCAGGCCGGGGAAGCGAGGGGGGGAAGCTCCGGAGACAGTGAAGCGAAGCGAAACGCGGCTCAATGCCGGCCTCGGAGAAGACAGCCGGCGCTCGCCGTCCCGCCGGTGCCGGCGGCACTGCGGGAGCCCCGCGGAGCCCCTCACGCCGCCGCCCGGCCCCGCGGAGCCCCTCACGCCGCCGCCCGGCCCCGCGGAGCCCCTCACGGAGCCCCTCACGCCGCCGCCCGCCCCCGGCCGTGTTTACCTGGCCGCCATCTTGGCACGGCCGGAACACCCCGCGCGCGGCCGGGGCGGGGCGGCGCAGCCAATCAGCGGGCGCGCCGGCCGCCGTGGCGGGGCGGGGCGGCCATGGCGGCCATGGCGGCGGCGCTGTGAGGGGGGCGCGGCGGGGCTGAAGGAATGGCGAGTTCTAAAGTGCAGTTGTCAGAGTCTCAGAACCATTTAGGTTGGAAAAGGTCTCTGAGAGAACCAAGTCCAATTTACGACCCAACGCCGCTGTGTCCACCACACCATGACACCGTCTGCTACATGCAGTTTTCCTTGGAGTCACCTCCAGGTCCAGTAGCTCCATCACCTCCCTGAGCAGCCCATTACAATGTTTAGTCACCTTTTTAGTGAAAAAATTACTCCTAATGGCCAGCTTTAATCTCAGTTGATGCAACGGAAGGCCATTTCCTCTCATCAAATCTCTTACTCCCTGGGAGCAGAGCCCAGTGCCAGTCTGGCTCCAACCTCCTGACAGGGAGTCTTGGAGAGCAATAATGTCCCCCCTTGAGCCTCTTTTTCTCCAGACTGTGAAAAACGCTAATCACTTGGTTTTTAAAATTTTAAAAGTTTAATAATAATAAAATGGTTATAAAAATAGTAATATAATTAGAGTAATAAAGTTTAGAGTTAGGATAATTATAAGATAATAAAAAGCAAAGAATTATGGATGCTTTTGGATACTAAGTTATGAAAAGCATACTTCGTGAACAAAGGAATAACCTTAAAAGCAATAGCTTGTTGTATATTGATGTCATACATTATGCATAAATTCTTTGCAAATTAAGAACTTTTCTGGTTTTTGTTAACTTCTTAATCATGTTGGTTCTACAAAGATGGAGAGAAGGTGGAAGAATGTTTGTCTTTTCTGATAAGGAGGCTGTAAATTTTTATGGGCCCCCTTCACTGACATCTTTATGTGAAGAGTTTCTTGATTATTTAATCTTTTTGCTTGAGCTTGTAACAAATCCTACATCACAGAGTTTCTATTTTAACATTATGTTGTAACCTAAAACTACATTTAACACACTACATAAGAGAATTAATACATCATAACTTTATAACATTACACATATAATATTCATTGTAATATTTGCGAAAAGCCAATCATAAAATATGCATTTTTCACAAGGCTAAACACCCCAAACTCCCTCAGCTGCTCCTCATCAGACTTGAACTTCTTTCAGAAGAAGGACAAGCATCAAGTTGTATAGCAATCCTTGGTGCCATAAAGGAATGTGGCATCTCTTCCAAAAGTAAGCCTTGTAGTTAAGCCACACCAAAATGTTTATGCTGGGACAGAATGGTGAGGGTCATACTCTTCAAGAATTAAAAAGTCTTCCAAAGTTCTCAGTAGTGCCTTGGATTAATGTGGTAAAGAGAAAACCACAAAAGTGCAAAGTCTGCACAGAGCAAAGGAGTTGTTTATCTCTAAGTTTCTGTTACACCTTGTCCTTTCAGCTCTCATAGGTGAGGCAGACAACCTAACCATTTAAGAGCAGCCTGAATATGATTCACCAAGAACTTCTTGCATAGAAGGAGCAACAGGAAGGGAGGCACAAGGAGAAGATGAAGGGACAAGGCTGACACCACTGAAACGTGTCTGAAAGACAGGAGGTTTCCCATCTTCAAAATAATATGTGAGAAGATATACTTTTCACTGACAGTTTGACAGGTTGAAAACTGTATCTCAATATGATAATGAGACTTTTGAGAAAGGAATTGCTGGCCCCAAACCACAACATGACCCAGCTGTGGACCAACAAGAAATGAGAAAAGGGCAAGGGTTATGAAGGTGGATAGTTGGGAATATGGCTATGAGTAGGGATTTCTTGGTTGATCCCAGCTTCTGGGATTGGCTGTGCATGGAAGGAAAACTAAATGCCTTTCTCAGGGACATAAATCAGATCTTCAGATTGTTTTCCTTTTATGCCATAATTTTACATCCTCAGATTCATTTCTAAAATCAATTAATTCCGTAAGTAATCACTTTTTCATGAACTACATGTAAATTTCACACTCAGCTTGCTAACTAGATTTTCCTCTCATCTGGGAAATCAATTTTTAAGAGAGTTATTTTATTTACATTGAATAATTGGTTGTATTTGGTACACAGATAACTGGTAATTAATAACAGTATTGATACTGGATATTCATTGCCATTTGTTCTAGTGAGTTGTTAGACCATTAGGCTGCATGATATTTTCTTAATGTGACCCAATTTGAACACACTCAACAAATTAAAAGGTGTGTGACATCTTTATGACCTGCAAATTTATATATTTGGTAGGGATACATTTTCAGAAAGGCAAATTTAATTTCATTACACAATTTGTATCCAAACATCGTGTTCCTTTTTTAGTATCTACAACCAATTTGAATGCAAGAATGGCACTGGAGGTGCACACAAATGAAGTACTTGACTATCCATATTAACTGCATTTTATAATTACAAATTAAATTTAATTGTCATTTTAAAAGCCACATTTTCAGGGTAATCTTCAGTCCTCTTACAAAAAAAATTCTGACTTCTCAGAAGTTCTTCCCTAGGAAAAATGGTGGCAAGAGCTCCTGCTGGACTTTCATCTGTCCAGAAGTATTTGTATTCACAAAGTAAGTGCTTGATGAAACTACAAAAGAGTTTGCTGGCTACTTATCAGAATTTGCAACTTACTGCTGGGTTTTTATGTTGAAATAATGTGTAAAGTCTTTTTATCTGCAGAAGAAAACAGAAGGCAGCACAACCTTTTGACCAACCCTGATGTCCCTACATCAAATTTATGAGGGCTGCTATTGTGGCGAACACTTGATTCGGTGTCAAATTTTTCTGATGGCAATTTTCTGTTCCCCATTGAGCAAATATTCAAATAATCTGATTTATTTCCTTTTGGTCAACTGATCTAATTTCCTTTCTCACTTGAATTCCTGTCCTGGAGGCTTGCCAAGCAATGACTCTCATGAATGAAACGAGTCATGCCTTTGAGATTCCTGTGGAACATCAAACTGGCACAACACGGTAATTACAGCTTAGATATTTCTGATGCTGTTATTAAAAACGACTTGAACTTTAGAAGGAAGGACTACTGCAATTAAATGTAACTTCAAGTTTAATTTGAATCTTCCAGGATCTCTATGGTTTGTCAGGTAGTAGGCAATTTTCTCTTTATCCGTCTTTATCTCTTCCTTTACCTGCTGTGGGGTATTTACAGACACTGCCATGAGTCCCAGTTCTGGTAGTGTACTTTTTCAGATGTACTTTGGGGTCTTTTTGAAACTCTCTTAATGAGTACCAGTCACAGAAGAGGTGAGAGCTTCAGAAAAGCTGAAGACTGTGTGGGTGCCAGGTCACCATGGCAGGTTCTCACAGTACAATTCACATTTCCAGGCCAGATATAGAACACACTGAAGTTCTGATCTAGTTCCATTGATATAGGCTTGAAAACATGTTTAGCTAATCACAAATACTCCTGTACATACTTATTTCCACAAAATATACACAATTTCCTAGTGGAGAAATGAACTACTCCAACATAAATTTTGCATTATGATCTGGTCTTTTAGCAGTAAATGAGGACAATAAGAAACTTTTTCTTAAGCAGTAAAATATGTCACATTCTATCCTTTTGAAATGGTGTTTTCAAACTGTGTCAAAATGATCAAGAACTGGATCCTTCTTTAAACATAATAGGAATGTCTTATTGTATTAGCAGATTACAGTCATTGTGTTAGTATACTATCTACCTTGTATTCATTTTTGCTAACATAATGAGAAATTTTTCTAGCATGGTTATATTTTAATACAATAAAATAGTGTTGGAAAGGAAAATTAGTATGATTTTAAAGAGAGATGTAAAGACAATAAAATAGCCTCTGAGTTTTCTTTCCTAAACTTTTAATTTGATGCTAACTTAAAATATACTTTTTATCAATCCACGGAAATAATTATAGTCAAATGAACATTTAAAGTCAGTTAAAAGGTTTACAGATGGCTTTTTTCCACATACTCTGCTATATAAGATCTAAGCAAGTCTGCCTAGATGTTTCTAAATTTTCTTATTTTAGAGAAGTACATAACTGATTAATGTAGCATCAAGCACACAGCTTTAATGAGAATATTTTCATGGCACCATTTACAATGCCCTTGCTCCTCTGAGGTTTGCATTTTGATGAAAATTCTGACTATAGAATCAGAAATACATGTCTGGTTTTAAGCATCAGCAGCCCATGAACAATTTGCTTTCTCTACTCTTTAAAAAAGACATTTCTAAAGCACTAATACACAGTGGGTGTTCAGGGAGAGAGTAAGACCTGTTCCAAGTTCCAGACTGAAGCTTGGAAGATCTGCACTCGGTTCCTATTTTTGCCACAGGATTCCTGTGATGAGTGAACAAGGTATTTTCAACTTTTATGCCTCACAGGTGCAAGAGTTCTCATCACCCTTGTCTATTGTGAGCATAAATTGTGAAGTTTTTTGCAGAAGGCAAAAGCATCGGTGAGCAGTTGGAGATGTACCCATACCACCCCTTCCCTGGCTCGACTGGATCCCAGCAGGGGCAGGCAGTGAGGGTGTGAAGTTCACTTCTGTTGTGCCACAGCCTTTGTTCATCCCTTTGGGGTTCCCTTGGGGTGTGGGGACTCTTGTGTTTTCTGACCTGACCCCTCTGCTGCTGCATTTGTAATTATGAGTGTGGGATGTGTTCTATGGAACCTGAAGTCATGTAATTCACTAAAATGTGAGGGTTTTCACCTAGTAGTGGACAAATTTCATTGAACCAAATATATCAATCTCAATTTTGTTGTAATGAATACAAAATCTTTATGCTGGGTTGGGATCTTGGATTGCATTTCTCTGGAATAGAAGAGAAACACCCTTCTGCCATATCACCAAATAGAGAAGCACCTGACTTTTTTTTTAACACAAAAAGAGTCATAAAGCAGTTGTCTTAACCTCTCAAAGAATTTTGCTTTGTGTATTAATGGATGTTGTTTAGAAGTACAATAGGGAGTCTTACAGCTCACGTGGCACTCAGATATGGAGCTAGGGCATGGTACTTAACCTCTCCTTGGTTTAGTTTGTGAAACAAACAACACTATTTTAACTATTTTTCAAGGATATTAGATAAAATTAATTAGTTTAGTATTTGTACTGCAATAAAGATCTATATAATTGGAAAGTCTTATAAGAATCTCAATCATTTTATTTTTGTGTTGATTGAACATTGAAGGGCTAGTTTTGTTACTTTGTACTGTATTTGAAGTGCGCTATTGTTTCATTTTTATAAATAACAGCTGATTTTTCAAGCTCCTGTAACAAACTTGTTTAGTCTCTGTGTATGCCAATGCCCTCTACTGGTTTGAAACACAATCGCTCAACAGAGGGTATTGCTGTTCTCCTTTATTGAGAAAACTGTAACATTGAAATTATTTTCCTTTTGAGAGCAGTTGAATTTTGGTTGTGCAGCCAGGCTTTATGTGAAGTACAAGAAGCTGCACCATGGACAAGCTGACACTTGGGTGACCCTTGTGCTACACGCGTGATTCTGTGCCAGCTTTTTTGTGGCCTTCTGTGGTTTTGTTTCACTGGATTTGCTGTTCTTGCTTTCAAAGCTCATAGGCAGCAATCCTGAGAGGGAAGAAGACACACACCTGAACTTGCTCGGTGCAGAGCGCTGTGGAGATGTTCCCTCAACACAATGGCCACCACTCTGAGGAGCCTCTCTGCTCTTCAGCCTGGTCCAGGGCCTTCCAAAAGTGCAGGCTGGTTGTGTTGACAGGCTGAGATACAAACAACCCTTGAGGTACAGGAGCTGCAGAGGTAATGAAGTGCCTTGAGGAAAAAGTCTTAACTATCAAGGGATGGATCCACTCCCCCCTGCCACAAACCAGGGGTCACGTGGCTGGGAATGTGTATCCACAGATAGTGCTACCTTCAGAGAACTCTACTTACAGGTAAGTAACTCTTCTTTAAAGGAGGTATCTTTGTGTGGCAGACTGTTTATGGGAGCAATTTGAATTGAACTTTAAATGAAAAAGGCATATCTCTGTAAGTGGTAATAATTTTAGTCATCTCGCTGTGGCTAGGGGTTGTGGAATTCATTAGCACAGATTAACATATAAAGTGGGTGAGATATCTAATAGCAAACGTAGAGGTTTAGGGACCTTAATTCATCACTGAATGAACAGCGTGTACAGTATTAGGGACTATGAAATTTTTAATTTACACAAAGTGTCCAAGAATATAGGGAATAAATTTAAACCCAAAACAGATAATGGAGCTGTGCCCTGCCTAGCTGGCAAGTTGAATTGTTTTTACACTGAGTGAAGAAAGCTAATTATCCCAAGCACAAGGAGACTGCTAAAAATAATAAGATTATAAAGAATAATTTGCTGATATAATTACAACAAAATTGGGTACACACAATCGTCAGATACATGTATTGCTTGACCTGGGCGAGAAAGTGAAATAAATCCTTCCTCTATAGCCTTCGTAAATTTGTTTTTATCATCTCCAAGTGGTGTTTGCACAGGCAGCACAATTTGCATGTGTAATGTGGCTGTACAAATTGACAACAAGTAAATTATTCAAGGAAATAGGCTGGTCGTGGGTCTGAACTATCTCGCAAAGCCTATTCATTTTGAAGAATCACTGAGACGTGAAGCTCATACATCAACCATTTTCTGACAATCCTCAGACTTATTGTCTCCTAAAATGTCATTATGGCTATTATTTATGAAGCTAATTCATTTATTAATATATATTTAACTCTGACTTGTCATGCACCTTAGCAGGCATTCTGTGCACTGCATATTTTTGAATAGATGAAAGAGTTTTGCATGCTTTAATGATTACTGTAAGCTGCTATAGATTTATAGAATGCAGCTTTATTATCTACTTGCATTAATACCTTTTTGTAACTTTTTTTTTCCCTTAAGGCCATCAAATATAAATGGCAAATGACAAATCCAAAAGATTGTATAAAAAAAGAGATTTTCTCAGAGTTTGTTGAATTTTAGAATAAAATGAGGTAGCTAACTGTTAAGGCCTGACTAGCTTCTAAAAAAATATAATAATTATGTTGATTTTTTGTGTATTTTGCTGAAAAATATAGAATAAATTCTATAAATTTCGATGCTTACTGTATTTTTCTCTTTGAGGACAAGTGGCCATCTTTTGATTATACCAACTGAGGGAGTAGAGTTTGAAGGGCGGAAAATGTAGCAGATGGAAAATAGATCTGTTCTGCTCTAGTATACATATAATATAGATAATTTCCCTCATATACAGCACACCTTAGGAATTGAACAGCACTGAAAGTATGGATTATGAGGTTGCCTATGGTTCTTGGATGTTTTCATCTTGATTCACTTATCTTTCGGGCATATTAAAAGACGTAGGAATCACAGTAACCCTTTCCTGACATCTACACAATGTCAAGAAACTAAAAACTGCAATCTGCTATGAGAAACATTATTGAAGTAGTTCTAAATTTTATTACACACACAGAATTCAAATTAAACTTGTAATTATGACAAACTGGCTAATTTAAATGTATAGTTATTATGGCTGTATGGTCCATTTGACTATTTTCAAGGGGCCTATGAGCGCAGTTGGAGGTTACTGGCCTGATTTGGAAGTTATGTGTTCCTGCTTGTGGGACTGGTGTCACCCACAGATTTGATAGGTCACTTGGTCCTGGTCCCTCAGTGTTTGTTCCCATCTGTAAGAGGAGGATCAGAAGTTTACCTTGTTTCCTGATGACAAAAAGGAATAACACATGGGGTAAATGCACTCTCTGGGTAGAGTTGTTCTATAGTATTAAAATTAGGAATTGTCATGCTTTTCACCTGCTCCCAGGATGTTCCAGGTAGTAAAAGTCATGGTATGTTACACCATGGGATGGACAGTCTATGACCAAGGAGGAATTTCGTACTCAATAATTACCTTTCCATCTTACAAAGCTGTGCTCTTCATGGCCAGAGGTATTTCACCTTAAACAGAAGAACAGATGGAAATTTTCAATGTCAAGACATGGAGTCTTTGCATAACAAAGGATTACCAAGCCTTTACATGGCATGAAGATCTTTTAAAGCTAATTTTGTAGTGGGAAATACTATAGCTCTTCATACTGGAAAACTTATTGCTTTGAATTCTTCAGCTTTAGAATGTGAATAAGAACACAAAAAGTTATATAGGAGCAAAGTTAAGTGACCGAAATAAGGGCACTGTGAAAATCCAACTCAATCCAGACAAGGGCAAAGAAAGTCATGTGGTTCTGAGTATGTGTGGTGAATAAATAAGTCTTTTTCATGTCTGGATGTCAGTAAGAATAATAACTTTCAGTGCTTTGGAAATAGAAACTTGTGTTTTCTAAAGTATTCTGGTACTTGCAGTTTCAGGTGCCTGCCTTGAGACATCTTAGAAAGTAAACCCAGACTTGTAGAATATTGCTTTTAAATGGAGCCTTGTCAGGTGATCTAAATTTGCCCTGTGGTTACTCCAAATGGTTTAAAAAAAAAAAAAAAAAAAAGCCACATATATCTAAGCCTTTGGAGCTTAGATCTATTTTGCCACTTCAAAAACTCCCAGTATAAATATTGGTTGGTCTTCCAGTCAGATATCAATCATTCAGTAATCAATGCCTTTATAGTTTTTGATCTTGATGGCCAGTTTCACGAAGAGAAGAGAGTCACAAGCTCTTGTTGACTGCAGCCAGTTAGAGACTGAAATTAATGCTACCACTGAATCAGTGTGGAGGGCTGATTTCTAGCATATTTTCTATTTATATTTAATAAGAATATTTAAATAATCTCAGAATGGCATGTTAAAGAAGAAAATTCATTGAGTGTTTCCTTGTTATATCACAACATTAGAGACTTCCCACTTTTTGCAAATAAAATAAATAAATAAATAATATGTTTTAAAAGAGCTTTATTTTTTTCATCCCACAAGAGGTTACAGACTTCTGCAAAGACCTGGTATGGCACGTCAAACTCTAGTTCATGCCATTGCTGTTTATGGTAGTGGAGCTATTTTTTTTTTCTTTTGAGGAGATTGAAATTCCACCTGCTACATAAGATATTCATTCATCTTTATTCAGTAACCTGTAAAATTCAGAGTGTAGAGAAGGAGCAAATCTGTTTGATAGTTCTGGACAAAATTTTTTCAGCTGTGATTTTCTGAGTGGCTCAGCTGTAGAGCCTCAGAATGATGTGCGAAGAAAGTGCCCCATCAGACTGCCTGTGCAGCTCTTGCTGCTGCTCCTGATGACACTAATCCATATCCCACTTCTGAGTTGGCTGCTTCTCAGGGAAGCGCTGCTGCTTCAACATCTTTTACTGCTGATCCTGTTTTACATTTTTGGAACAACCGAGGAATCCTCGGATCCTCTTTTATAACCAGGGGAAGTAAACACCATTTGTTGTTTCATAAAACACAATTTGTGAAGCACAAAATCATTGGGTATTCTAGATGCAATGCCTTGTGCTGTGTTTCAGTGTATCCTGTGATAGTCCTTGTTGGCTACCAGCATGTCAGGCTGTATGGACAGCCTGAGTGACCAGTTTGAGATTCTTCCAAAATGTCAGGTCTCTGTAGCTGCAATAATCAACTTATTTTACTGTGGGCAGTGTGTCAGGAGTGTGCCAGCTGATACCCTGGGGACTGCCTGGAGCTGCCTGCTGCTAATCCCTTCAAAGGGGACACGTCCAGAAAGGACGTGCAGTGAGCAGCATCCAGATGCTACACTTGCAACTACCCAACCTATCCCTACCCCAAAACTGCTTTCCTCTTAATTATACCAAAAGGTATTTTGGGGGAAAAAAAAGTTTGAACTCTTATATTAAAGAAAGAAAACAATAAAGGAAAACATAAACCAGGCTTTTTCATAGTGTATGATCCTTCCTTCTGATGCAGTCACCCTATCAAACATCATTATTCATTGTGCAGCTAAAGGATGCTAACCATCAAGATACTTTGGGAATGCAATGAAAACAGCAGCGTTGTAAACCCCAGGGCTTAATCCTGATCAAATTCCAAGTTGAATGATTATATTTTCCCCCTAGACTGATAGCCAATTCTTCACTTTAGTTTTAAACATTTACACAGTATTGCCAAGTGCTGACAGCTTCAGAAATAGCAGTTGCATATCAATAGTGGACGTTGACATCCTATATTGTTAAT